GCGGAAAAGACGGGCCGGAAACAAGACCAGCGGTCCGGAAATGACAAGTATGGCAGATTTCGCTGTCAGAAGGTGCGGACAGACATGACGTTTCTCTCCCACTCTAGGACTCTAGGGCGGGCCGCTGCGCGCCCGGGAGGTAGGCAGCACAGGCACAGCGGTGCGCGGCGGGCGGGCCGGGCCGCCGGGCGTTCCGACGCTGCGACGGGCTCCAAGACTCCATCCTGCCGCCCCGCCGCTCCCCGCGGCCCGACAAATAACCTGTCTGCGGGCTCATTGCAGCCTCGGCCGGCCAGCCTCCCCGGGGAGTCCCAAGTCCCAGCAGAGCGCGGCAGTCTCCACTGTCTCCACCGTCTGCCGGCCTGCAGGGCGACAGGGCAGCCGGGCCCCGTAACGGACGGGCGGCGTGGTGGGGCCCTGTCGACGCGCAGTGGGCCAGAAGACCGGTTTAAGGTTTAAGGTTGGACGTTCAACAAACGGCTCTGTCCAGCATGAGCCTCTCACTGTTACTTAGTGAGGTTGATGGGCAACACAGGGGGCCCTTGCAGGCGGCCAAAACTCTGGACGCGTTTTGAGCTCCAGAGTTGCTAAATGGAACTCGAACCGAACGTGTGGCCCCACCAATGGATTCGTCAATCGGAGAGCAATCCATTGGTGGGGTCACACGTTCAGTTCGAGTCCCATTTAGCGACTCTAGAGGTGGAAACCCGTCCGGGAGTTTGAACACCTCCACCGGTCTTGTGGCCCACTGTGTGGCGCGCGGCCCGGCGAGGGCGAGCCCCACCTGAAGGGCGCCAGGGCCGGGCCAGGGCAGGGCCTTCCGTGTAGCGCGTACCTTTGATCCCGGTCTGGCCCCGCCTCGCCCCGCCGCCGCGCCCCGCCCGCTGGCTCCAATGTCAACCGTATACTTACTGCGACCCGCTCGAGTGGCGCGCCGTGGCGGATCACTGGGGCAGACTCGGCCGTTTCAGGGAAATTGAGCCGGCCCCTTTGGAAATCAATCGTGTTTCTCTTTTCCACCGCCCCTGTCCCTCCCTCTCTCTGCATTTCCTTTTCATATCTTTCCTCTGCTCCGCGGGCTGGCTGGCTGGCTTTCGGGGAGTATTGCTTTTGTCGATTGGTCCCTCGCTGGGCGCACTTTAAGGACGCCGGGGCCCGCGCGCCCCAGTGCGCATAAGGCTCGAGAATACCACGACAAAATTTAATCAGCATTTTCCTCACGTTGTTGCTGAAAAAAAGGGGGCCTGCGGCGGTGCTCGAAAAAAAAAATCCGCAACGATACCCCGGTCCCTGGCTGCTTCCGTTGACAAATGTTTACCCCTTCGGCCTGTTGTTGAGGATGCCCGCGGCATGGCCCGGCCTGGGCAAACACTTTTTTCGACCTTTTTTTGCCGCTTTGACCGGGAGGGCTATGGACTTTGCCTCGGGCTTTGGCGTGCTCAGCCTGCGGGCCGCGCCGAACCAATCGCTGGAAGACAAACGGGGAGGGCACATAATCTGGCAAATCGTATATTCAAGACGCGCCGCGCCACGCCTTGCAGTGTATCGAGGCCCGCTTCGCCGCTTCGCCGTGAAATTGCATACGTAGCTGGAATTGGCTGCGGCTCGGCTCGGCTCGGCCGCTTGATCCGCCACCCGTTGCCGCCCAGCGGCCCCGCGCGCCGCCTTCAACAACACGCCCCAGCCGCCCCACTCCGAGGAGTCGTCTCGTCGCTCTGTCTCTCTCGCACTCAAGGGGAATCCCTTCCGAACCACGCGGCATTCCTCCCTCGCCCGAGCGGCCCGCGCCAAAACAAAGCAGCCCCCGCCACAGCAACCCCAAAAATCTTGCCCCGACCACGAACCGATTTTTCTCGTCACACGCAACGAATTTTGTATTGCATTATGGTGCTCTGCCTCCGGTGTGGGTGCGAGAGAGACAGAGCGACGAAAAGGACTGAATCAGTGCAACTTTCCTTGGAGAGTGAGGCTGAGCCGCCTCCGCGGGTTGGCTTCCTTGCTGCACAGTGTCGCTGCAGACTGATTCCGAGAGTCGTTTCCGTCGCTCTGTCTCTCTCGCACCTGTACGGCACGCCCCACGAGTGCGAGAGAGACAGAGCGACGAAAACGACTCCCGGGAATCCGTCTGCAGGAACGCCGAGCGACTGCATGGCGAAGTCGGCGGAGTAACCCTCGCCGTCTCCCTTCTCCCCTCACGCATCACTAGCCGCGGAGGGCCGCGCTGGGCCGTCTGGCGGAGTCGCTCGGAAATCGCTTCCCGTCTTGATAAATCTCCGGACTCGCTGTGCAAACGCTTGCATCCCCTCTCCCCCTCCCCGCCGCGGCCGCGGCGCCGCGCTGCACCCACCGCCTTTGTGCTCACCGAGGGCCTGTAGACTGGTTCCGAGAGTCGTGCTCTGTCCCTCTCGCACCTCCGCGCGGAACGCGCCGTGAGTGCGAGAGAGACGGCTCTGGGAATGAGTCCGCTTGCATGGCGGCGAGGCGGCACCGCGGCGAGACATTCGAGTGGTGGATGTCTTTCGGCGGCAGACACAATGCGGCTGCTGCGACGTCATCAGCGGCGGAGAGACTCGTCGCGCTGTCTCTCTCGCTCCTCCACCGGACGCCCCGCGAGTGCGACAGAGACGGAGCGACGCGGCGACTCCTCGGGATCCGCCCGCCGGGGGAAACGAGAGGAAGAAAGAAAATGATACAAATCGGCGGGACGATGCGGGGCGTCGCGTTCATTGGTCTGGAAGGAGAGAGATGAGGGCGTTGTTTGAGCGACGTGGCGACACCACACCGTCGAGCCGGGCCGCCGGGCTGGCTGCGTCGCGGGGCTGCGCACGGATGGGAAAAAGGAATGCAAGTGGCGCGTACACTGCAAATCCAAGTGGGAGACAGTCTCACACTATTTCGCGCGAGCGGAAATGTCTCACACTTGCAAGTGAGAGCCTTGGCGGTCTGCCCCACACGTTTTGTCCGAGCTGCGCGATCTGACGCGGTGGTTCCATGCCGACCCGCGACTCCAAGTGTACGGCCTCACGCTTCCGAGTGTTAGACATTGATGTCTCACACTTGCAAGCGTGACACAACTTGGTTCACGCCTAACAGTGTACGACTATCCCACATTTGGATTTGCAGTGCAGGCGTAAAACAGTTTGTACGGTGTTTTCAGGTTGCGCACCACCAGCGTCTAGGATGAACTTTTTTACGGGTGGAGTGCAACAGTGTACGTACGGTGTCGGCCCCACTCCCGCCAGGGGTGTCTCACCGGATAGAAAACAATAAATTCCTCGTCCGCCGCGTCGCATTGCGCGTTGCTCGGATTTGAATGGAGATTTTATTGTCTTCTCGGCTGGAGCGACGGAGCTCTGTCTCCCCGTTTGATGGCGGGCCTAGGGCTGGGGCTGTGCTGGGGCTGTGCTAAGGCTGTGCCCCGCGCCAGCCGCCAGCCGCCATCGTCAAAGTTGCGCGAGAGGTTCCGAAAGCCCAGCCAACCAGCCAGCTTGCCAGCCAGCCGGCCGGCCAGCCAGTCAGTCAGTAAGCCAGCCAGCCGCCGCAGAGAGATGGGGATTGCGCTGCCACCGCGGGGGGCTGGGCTCAGGCAGCACGGCGACGAGGGTCTCGGACCGGATCACCCGGAAGGACTTCCCCATGGCGTGCCATGCCGCCACGAGAAAACGCGTCGCTGAACCAAACATTCCGTCCGAACGCTCCAATTTCCCGTTATTCTTGAACCAACCTCGTGACGAGATACCGCCACTCCTCGCGGCGTCAGTGCGTACTGGGAATCCAGGAATGTGTCTCAATCACATTCGAGCGAATAAATGGCACATTCGTTTCAACGCGACTCCACTGGCCGCAGCCTCATGGTGCTCCGCGTCACGTTCAAACGAATGCGACGATTGGACTCTGGGCAACTCCCGGAGCCAGTCCGCGCGGTCGGCGGGGCAGGGCGCGGGGAGGGGCAGGGCGGGGCCGAGATGATGGGACGGTACGCCAGGAAGGCCAAAGCCCTGCGGCAGCAGCGCTGTGCCTTTGCTTTGCGCGCTCTGCGTCGAGTTGGCTCATCTGCGACTCTGGGCACGGCGCACGGCGCACGGCGAAAGAGGCACGCGGTCGCACACAGTCGTCCGGGGCGCTCGTTCGCTCATAATTGTTCTCCATTTCTCTGGTCTCCGCTGACGCCGCAAAAGCGAGCTCCGTGTTCGGGCTTCCTCGCCCGGAGCGTCGCCAGGGGGCAGTCCAGGCAGGCCAGGCCAGGCAGGCCAGGCCAGGCAGTCCAGGCAGGCCAGGCCAGGCAGGCCAGGCAGGCCAGGCCAGGCAGGCCAGGCAGGCCAGGCCAGGCAGGCCAGGCAGGCCAGGCAGGCCAGGCAGGCCAGGCACCCAGGCCAGGCAGGCCAGGCAGGCCAGGCAGGCCAGGCAGGCCAGGCAGGCCAGGCCAGGCAGGCCAGGCAGGCCAGGCAGGCCAGGCAGGCCAGGCAGGCCAGGCAGGCCAGGCAGGCCAGGCAGGCCAGGCAGGCCAGGCAGGCCAGGCCAGGCAGGCCAGGCAGGCCAGGCAGGCCAGGCAGGCCAGGCCAGGCAGGCCAGGCCAGGCAGGCCAGGCCAGGCAGGCCAGGCCAGGCAGGCCAGGCCAGGCAGGCCAGGCCAGGCAGGCCAGGCCAGGCAGGCCAGGCCAGGCAGGCCAGGCCAGGCAGGCCAGGCCAGGCAGGCCAGGCAGGCCAGGCAGGCCAGGCCAGGCAGGCCAGGCCAGGCAGGCCAGGCCAGGCAGGCCAGGCCAGGCAGGCCAGGCCAGGCAGGCCAGGCCAGGCAGGCCAGGCAGGCCAGGCCAGGCAGGCCAGGCCAGGCAGGCCAGGCCAGGCAGGCCAGGCCAGGCAGGCCAGGCCAGGCAGGCCAGGCAGGCCAGGCCAGGCAGGCCAGGCCAGGCAGGCCAGGCCAGGCCGATCCCCCCCTGCAACAAGCAGCTATCTACGCTCACTGTCTCGATAACCGACTATCTACGCGCGCCCTCCCGACAACCGGCTATCTACACGGGCTGTCTGGATAACCGACTATCTGCTTTCTCCACCTCGCGAGATTGAATGCATTTATTTATCCAACCAATTAAGTTGCCCTCGCAAAACCTTTACCAAAACTTGTCAAAAGTTTGTCAAAGCAAGATTAAGTATGGTTTAAACGGGTCGCTTTAAGTATCATGGAGAAAAATACTTCGTTATCCGACAACCCTAACCTCGCTACGATGTTGGATAGTCGGTTATCCAGACAGCCCATGTAGATAGCCGGTTGTCGGGAGACCGCCCGTAGATAGTCGGTTACCGAGACAGTGAGCGTAGATAGCTGCTTGTTGCAGGGGAGTATCGAGGCAGGCCAGGCCAGGCAGGCCAGGCCAGGCAGGCCAGGCCAGGCAGGCCAGGCAGGCCAGGCAGGCCAGGCCAGGCAGGCCAGGCCAGGCAGGCCAGGCCAGGCAGGCCAGGCAGGCCAGGCCAGGCAGGCCAGGCCAGGCAGGCCAGGCCAGGCAGGCCAGGCAGGCCAGGCCAGGCAGGCCAGGCCAGGCAGGCCAGGCCAGGCCGATACCCCCCTGCAACAAGCAGCTATCTACGCTCACTGTCTCGATAACCGACTATCTACGCGCGCCCTCCCGACAACCGGCTATCTACACGGGCTGTCTGGATAACCGACTATCTGCTTTCTCCACCTCGCGAGATTGAATGCATTTATTTATCCAACCAATTAAGTTGCCCTCGCAAAACCTTTACCAAAACTTGTCAAAAGTTTGTCAAAGCAAGATTAAGTATGGTTTAAACGGGTCGCTTTAAGTATCATGGAGAAAAATACTTCGTTATCCGACAACCCTAACCTCGCTACGATGTTGGATAGTCGGTTATCCAGACAGCCCATGTAGATAGCCGGTTGTCGGGAGACCGCCCGTAGATAGTCGGTTACCGAGACAGTGAGCGTAGATAGCTGCTTGTTGCAGGGGAGTATCGAGGCAGGCCAGGCCAGGCAGGCCAGGCCAGGCAGGCCAGGCCAGGCAGGCCAGGCAGGCCAGGCAGGCCAGGCCAGGCAGGCCAGGCCAGGCAGGCCAGGCCAGGCAGGCCAGGCAGGCCAGGCCAGGCAGGCCAGGCCAGGCAGGCCAGGCCGGGCAGGCCAGGCAGGCCAGGCCAGGCAGGCCAGGCCAGGCAGGCCAGGCCAGGCCGATACCCCCCTGCAACAAGCAGCTATCTACGCTCACTGTCTCGATAACCGACTATCTACGCGCGCCCTCCCGACAACCGGCTATCTACACGGGCTGTCTGGATAACCGACTATCTGCTTTCTCCACCTCGCGAGATTGAATGCATTTATTTATCCAACCAATTAAGTTGCCCTCGCAAAACCTTTACCAAAACTTGTCAAAAGTTTGTCAAAGCAAGATTAAGTATGGTTTAAACGGGTCGCTTTAAGTATCATGGAGAAAAATACTTCGTTATCCGACAACCCTAACCTCGCTACGATGTTGGATAGTCGGTTATCCAGACAGCCCATGTAGATAGCCGGTTGTCGGGAGACCGCCCGTAGATAGTCGGTTACCGAGACAGTGAGCGTAGATAGCTGCTTGTTGCAGGGGAGTATCGAGGCAGGCCAGGCCAGGCAGGCCAGGCCAGGCAGGCCAGGCCAGGCAGGCCAGGCAGGCCAGGCAGGCCAGGCCAGGCAGGCCAGGCCAGGCAGGCCAGGCCAGGCAGGCCAGGCAGGCCAGGCCAGGCAGGCCAGGCCAGGCAGGCCAGGCCAGGCAGGCCAGGCAGGCCAGGCCAGGCAGGCCAGGCCAGGCAGGCCAGGCCAGGCCGATACCCCCCTGCAACAAGCAGCTATCTACGCTCACTGTCTCGATAACCGACTATCTACGCGCGCCCTCCCGACAACCGGCTATCTACACGGGCTGTCTGGATAACCGACTATCTGCTTTCTCCACCTCGCGAGATTGAATGCATTTATTTATCCAACCAATTAAGTTGCCCTCGCAAAACCTTTACCAAAACTTGTCAAAAGTTTGTCAAAGCAAGATTAAGTATGGTTTAAACGGGTCGCTTTAAGTATCATGGAGAAAAATACTTCGTTATCCGACAACCCTAACCTCGCTACGATGTTGGATAGTCGGTTATCCAGACAGCCCATGTAGATAGCCGGTTGTCGGGAGACCGCCCGTAGATAGTCGGTTACCGAGACAGTGAGCGTAGATAGCTGCTTGTTGCAGGGGAGTATCGAGGCAGGCCAGGCCAGGCAGGCCAGGCCAGGCAGGCCAGGCCAGGCAGGCCAGGCAGGCCAGGCAGGCCAGGCCAGGCAGGCCAGGCCAGGCAGGCCAGGCCAGGCAGGCCAGGCAGGCCAGGCCAGGCAGGCCAGGCCAGGCAGGCCAGGCCAGGCAGGCCAGGCAGGCCAGGCCAGGCAGGCCAGGCCAGGCAGGCCAGGCCAGGCAGGCCAGGCAGGCCAGGCAGGCCAGGCCAGGCAGGCCAGGCCAGGCAGGCCAGGCCAGGCAGGCCAGGCAGGCCAGGCCAGGCAGGCCAGGCCAGGCAGGCCAGGCCAGGCAGGCCAGGCCAGGCAGGCCAGGCAGGCCAGGCCAGGCAGGCCAGGCAGGCCAGGCCAGGCAGGCCAGGCAGGCCAGGCCAGGCAGGCCAGGCAGGCCAGGCAGGCCAGGCAGGCCAGGCCAGGCAGGCCAGGCAGGCCAGGCCAGGCAGGCCAGGCAGGCCAGGCCAGGCAGGCCAGGCAGGCCAGGCAGGCCAGGCCAGGCAGGCCAGGCAGGCCAGCGCTGACCACGAGCCTTTGAAAGGCCGGGCCGAGCGCGCCGAGCGGGAGGAAGGAGAAAGACACCGGACTGCCGCCGCACTACCGGGCCAGACCAGACCGACCAGTGGTGGCCGACCCGAGGCTCATTGTGTGCTCCAGGCAGACTCGGCACGGCACGAGCAGTGTTGTCGGGTCCTCGCCTCATCCCAGCTAAACCCGGCTAAACCCGGCTAAATCCGCCTCGGCTGCTTAGCACAGCAGCACTGCAGCGCCCGCACGGGCCAGAAGACCAGTGCAGGCGGCAAAAACTCTAGACGCGTTTTGAAATCCAGCGTCGCTTAATGGGACTCAAACGTGTGACCCCACCAGTGGATTGTTCTCAACGAGGACTCCAGCCAGACTCTGCTATTCCACCTCGACTCCTCACCGTGAGGGGGGAGCAACGATATAAGATGGAGGGCCCAAGGTGGTCGACCCCTCGTCCTCTTCAAGGGTGGTGCGAACACTCACACTGACGCACAGACACTCGCGGTTGACACCTCCTGCATAGAGAGTCCCCCGCGAGGAGCCCCCCACCCCCTGCAGCGCCTCCACTGCCCTCCACCCGCGCGGCGCTCCCAGTGTACGCGCAGTGCCGCTGTTTTGGCGGAAATAACGCTTATTTGCCACAGAAATGTTTCGTCCCGGCCTTAGTAGAATTGCGCATGAATAGAGAACGGGGCATCCCCCTCCGCGATAACGATCAAAGCAACGACGGCTTTGCGGAGCTGCTCGGCTCCGTGCGGCAGCACAGTGGGCCAGAAGACCGGTGGAGGCGGCCAAAGCTCTGGACGCGTTTTGTGCTTCAGAGTCGCTAAAGAGGACTCCAACCGAACGTGTGACCCCACCAATGGAGTTCTCGTTCGGAGAGCGATCTTGGGGGTCACACGTTAAGTTCGAGTCCGATTTAGCGACTCTGGAGCTCAAGACGCGTCCGTGTGACTGCTTCCACCGGTCTTCTGGCCCACTGTGCGTCGCCGTGCCCAGCTCGGCTGCCTCCAGGAAGGCTTTGCAAAGAGAGTGCTGTCACAAGAGCCACCACCGTCGACACATTGCCCGGAGCTTTTTGCGGTTCAGCATCCGGGGCTGTCATGTCCGCGGGTCGCAGTTATTCTGCGCGCACGTGACTCTGTGTGTGTGTACGTGACGTGTGTGCGTGTGTGTATGTGTGTGTGTGTGTGTGTGTGTGTGTGTGTGTGTGTGGATTGAGTGCGGTTCAAGCGTTGCCACGTTGATTCACCGCATAATTGATCAGGCTGTGTAGGTGACAACGCGGGAAGGGACGGCGGGGTGGTGGGGCGGGGCGGGGTGTGGTGGCGGAGTGTAGGCGGCTCTGAATTATTGCTCGAAAACAAACCAATCATATTATTGTGCGACGTGGCGGCGCTCTAAATTCTGCACACTGCACTCGGCCGGGCGAATCAACGGGGTCGTTTCACATCGCCGTGGTTTTGTTTTCTTTCTTTCTCTGTTTTTGGGGGGGGGGCGACTCGTGACTGCGCGGTTCTCAGCGTCGCCTCACTAATGCACCGTTCGCGCTCATGCTCGGCGCTGCTCAGGTGGTGGACGGAATTGAATCTGAATCACAAACTTAGGGAGCGCGGCCGCTGCCCATTAGGAGAAATAATACAACAGATAAAGGAATCAAAAAAATCACAAAAAAAGGAAGCAAACAATAAAGTGGCATCGACAACCGATCGGCGTGGGAGGGCGAGAGCCTCGTGGGCCCGGGGCAGCGCGGCGCGCGAAAAGAGTGGCTGCGAGTAAACGTTTTATTCTATCGCCCAGATTGCGACCCTCCGGGACGTTTATTAGGACGAGGCAGAAAAACAAGGCGTGGCTGGCCGCGCTGGCACGCTGCAGCACTGGGCAAAGGGACCGGCAAAGGGATCATTACCCTTTGGCCGTGCCGGCTGGCTGTTGGCTGGCTGTTGGCTGGCCGGCTGGAGGAGGGCGCTGGAGGCGCTACCCCCTCCACCGCCCCGCGGCCCAATCCTTTTATCGCGTCTTATTGCTGCCCCGTGAATACAAACAGGGATGAATATTCAGGACCCGTTGCCTTTGTGTGCAGTCTGCGGGCCAGGCGGCCAGGCGGCGGCGCGGCGCCGTCTCACGCAGTGGGCCAGAAAACCGGTACGGAGGTGGTCGAAGGCCTGGACGCGTTTTGCGCTCCAGAGTCGCTAACCGAACGTGTGACCCCACCAATGGATTGCTCTCCGAACGAGGAATCCGCTGGTGGGATCACACGTTCGGTTCGAGTCCTGTTCAGCGACTCTGGGGCTCTACGCGTCTAGAGTTTTGGCCGCCTGCACCGGTCTTCTGGCCCACTGAGCGACTGCACGTGGAGTGGGTCTTAGACGCCCCGAGGTGGCGGCGGGTTGTTAGAGAGAGGCGTTACGCAGCGCCGGTCTGCCTGTGCGCCCGCGGAGTCGAGGGTAGGCAACCCGCTGCAACGCGCGGTTAGGCGGGCCGGCGGCGCTGCTAGGCGGTCAGTCAGTCAGTCAGTCAGTCAGTCAGTCAGTCAGTCAGTCAGTCAGTCAGTCAGTCAGTCAGTCAGTCAGTCAGTCAGTCAGTCAGTCAGTCAGTCAGTCAGTCGGTCAGTCAGTCAGTCAGTCAGTCAGTCAGTCAGTCAGCCAGTCAGGCAGCAGTCAGTCAGTCAGTCAGTCAGTCAGTCAGTCAGTCAGTCAGTCAGTCAGTCAGTCAGCAGTCAGCAGTCAGTCAGTCCAGTCAGTCAGTCAGTCAGTCAGTCAGTCAGCAGTCAGTCAGGCACGCCAGTCAGGCAGCCGCAGACACAGCCAACTACCGTACGATCCAGCCACCTGCAGATCATCGGCCTCCTTTAGACGGATTGTGGATTGTTACCGTGGCGTGGCTTAGCCTGCAGACCAGCTCCATGAAGCCGCAACGGCCTGGGGCCAACCTCTTGCAACAGCCCCCTCCCCCTCCCCCCGGCTCGCCTCGGGCGAACAATGGGCTTTAATCAGGTTAACAATGCGTCCGTATTGATCTTGCAAGCAAGGGGCTGCTAGTCGGTGGCGCAGAGGCTCTAGCCCGGAACGCGGTCAATAAACGAGGAAAAAAGGACCTTGCTTCGGTCGCTGGTTCACTGTATCTCCATTACGGCGTCAACACTCCTCTTAGTATTGGTGCAATGTAGATCCTCACAGGGGTCAAGTTCTCTGTTTTCAAGTAAACTTCTATTAGTCAACTGCATGAAATTAAACTGAATAACTTGATGTCAAGGTGCACTACTATATTCTCTTTCCGAGGCGCGGCAGGGTGCACGATGGTGCGCGAAGTATCTACAGGAGTATTACTCTTTTTAATGACGGCTTCTATAATAGAAAAGGCAGTTCAACTGAAGAGGCTTGGCCGATGGTCAATTAGATTCCCCACGATAGTTTGTGCGGATTTCAGAGGCGAGACAGCACCAAGTGCGGGGGGGGGGTGTCTACTAGCGTAACGCTGGGGAGCCGCGACAGCGAAGACGGAGATGCTGATGGCGTGCACCGAGACTGGGTGTTCTGGGTGTACCGGATGTGCGGTGAGCACCAAGTGAGCACCTCATCTGCACGAGAAGCTCGGTGTGATCACGGTAAAGCGAGCTAGCAGACGCCTACCACACACCTACCCTACATACAAATGTGCGCGTGCGCACGCGCGCACATACACACACGTTCATACAATGGCTGGCTATTCTGCCCCCCCCCCCCCCCCCCTTTTCCACATACACACACGACGCCCTCCTTCAAGGAAAGGGAAAGGCAGCAGACAAGCACCCCACCCCCTTCCCCCGCCCCGCCCCCGGTGTGTGCTTCCGTATTCATCGTCCCAGTGTGCCGTCATTTTACACAGCGCATCAATTTTTTCCAGGAAATCGTAGCGGTCGCGGCTGCAGGTTTCCTTCGAAAGAACGAAAAACGAAAACAAGAAGAGACGAAACGAAAGCAACCAAAACACACAGTGGCCGAGTAATGACTTTCCGCCTGACCGGTGCACGGCGATTGCAGTGGGACTGACGGGGCCGCCGGGCTGGACCGGCCGGTGTTCCAATCTCGACCCGAAGAGAGTCCGTCCCGGTCCGTCCCGGTCGCCGGAATGCTGTTTGTTGTCATTTCCGCAGGCAGTCGGCCGCGCCAGCCAACGGACTCATTCCGAGAGTCGTTTTCGTCGCGCTGTCTTTCTCGCACCGATAAGAACATCCCTGAGTGCGAGAGAGACAGCGCGACGGAGACGAGTCTCGGAAGTCTGCAGGTCACGCCACGCTCTGGAAAAGGCAGACCG